TGGACACGGTGTAGTTTTAGCAATGGCTGGCATTAATATTAAGCCCAGAGTTTTATGAAGGTAGGCAGCTTTGCATTTTAATCAATAACTATCAGCTCCCAAGGGAACCTGGAGGTTCTTATTCTTGCTTGTTCCTTCTTGTCTATTCGTGATGGCAGGGTATTGCCGCATCAGGGGGTCGAGGGAGATTATAGGATTGCGGGAGGGAGCCCACGCCACCGGTATACAGGTTGAGGGCCAGCCAGACGACAATAAAGTGGAGGAAAAAGAACTGAGGGAGGCGCTGGCTGCCGTGTGGGACTCTATTGAAGATGAGTGATATGGTGGGAGGAACCAGCAGAGTGACGGAGAGGGGTGAAAGAAGGGAATTCAGTGTTGCTTGTTTCCACCGGCGGCAAACTCAGTCAGATAAGAGGGCAGGAAAAGTCTTGGTGGGCGACTCAGATAGCACTCAAGGGGGCCTATTTCTTCTGGAAGGTCTGGAAACCATATCTTCCATATCACTGAAATTTATTTCTTTCTTCGATAAAGGTGAAAATTTTTTTAGGAGAATTTATAGTTTTGGATGGGTTAAGGATGCATCATTAAATTTAATGTTTTTTTTTTCTATTTGAAGACTCTTAATTTTCCTTTAGGAAAAAATTCTGCTAAAATTTTTTTTGAATGTGTGGAGTTTTCGAAGAAATAAATGAGGTTGAAATTATAGCATAGTTGAAGAAAGAATAAAAATTTGTGGCTGAGTTCATCTGCGTCACACCCTGTATTAAAATAGATAGAGGAAGATTTTGGGAGAGGCCCTAAATTCTGGTTATAAAATTTGTTAGCCCTTTTTTTTATGGGTTCTTTCCATTATCTCTCTTTTTGAGAGCCCTAATCTAGCAGAATCTTCGTTTGCTATTGATCCCATTATATTATGGATTTGTTTGGAATAATTTTCTTATTACTTTGTTTTTCAGATTGCAATTATAATTTTTTGTAGACAATTTCTTTAGCTGCTTTCAAAAAATTGTGTACTAAAGAAATGCTTTCTATATCTTTAAGAAATTAATTTCTCTACAATAATTTTATGAAGCAGTAAGAAAGCTGTCCCGAGCTAATATTGTTCATTAAAAAGTTTTTATCAAAATCATTTAATTTTCCAAAAAAATTGACCACTCTTATTTAAGTAACACCTCAAATTGTATGTTTGGATTATTCACATTTACATCCACATGAAATTATGGCCCACAAATACATTTCCAATGGCTTTTTTACTGGTTTTTTGCAGTCTTCCTTTTTTATTCTCTTAATGGAAAAATTATTTGATATTTTGATAAATATTTATGCTATGACATGTGATATGTCATTTAATTTATATTATGTGTTATACTAAACCCTAATTGTCTATTTCATAAACCCTAGAAAGGTCTATAACTGTTGAATTTGTATTTGGGAGTAAGCTTTTCAATTGTGCTAAGTTGAACGGTCTGTGGGGAATTGGATACAAATAGATTCATTGGATACTTTTATTTGAGATAAAAAAATTGTTGCATCTTGGAACATTCGTGGCGGTAAAAAAATATAAAGTTTAGCAACCTAGCATTGTACAAAATTCTAGCACGCAAACAGAAGAAGGATATGGGTGTACAACATACTCATTTGAGTGATCATCAGAGTTTTTACATGGAAACCCCTGATAAGGTAAAAATCCATGGGGTCTTTCTGTCACGACCCGACCCGAGACGAGACGGATCCCGCATAGCATGTGTAAAGCCTCATTGATAAAGGGAAAAATACTCATGCCGCTGTCGTCCTGTCACTGTTTAAATTGATCCCATTAGTGTTTACAATTAGATTTACACAAAGTGTTATTCCTGGGGAAAAGACCTTTGCTCAGAAGTGTAGGCAAGTATACATCAAAATAGGTACAATTAAATGCGTGCGGAGTTGGAAAGAATCAGTATTAGACCATGTCGTTATGGTTGTAGGATCATTCGGGCGGCGAACGAAGCAAGTCGGAAAGACTATTAGTCGAGGCACGCGTGGGTCGCGGGATGATGCGCTGGTTGGATGATACATAATGATCGACGGGCAACAGAGATCAGAAAGGATCCGTAGTCGGATGTGACGTAATGAGCCAGAAGCATCATAGTCGGGTGATGCGGTGGTTGGAAAAAGAATGTAGGATTGGGGCGATGGTTGTTGACCTCATAATTCGAGGTCAATTTCCCCAGAATCAAATCTCTAAGCCTCCAAGGTTTCGTAACCTAGCAAGATGTCACCTACATAATTTTTCCAGTAGGTGGAAATACCCTATTGACGTAGCTCTCGACTCAAACTCCAGACTCGACCTAAATCATCACTAATTAAATAAAATTACTGACGTATTCGTTTTACATACGATAAGCTTCGATTTAACCCAAATTGACTCATGAGATAAAAATGATTAAATTCGATAATTAAGTTAGTGGATATTCTGCGGGTTCTACCAATTGCAGTAACAATTTAAATATCTGACAAGAATTTGTTAAATTAGCAATCTAACATTCTTAAAATATCCACTTTATATCTTTATAATTAAAGGTAATCAATACTTGCTTAATCAATGTTAAAATCCTATATTATATATATATAATATAATATATATATAATATTATATATAATAGTATAATGATTGATATATACTATATATAGATATAATTATTTTAATTAAGAAACTCTAATGGTAATTAATAACTTGCAAGTAATCACTAAGTGAAATATAAGATTAATGAATTTTAAACTTTTAATAAACACTTAAATTCAAACTTTAATTATAACTAAATCAAAAAATTTAACTCCAAACTTAATAGAAGTTGTATTCACATGCATAGTCGTGGGTTCGGCTAGTGACCTAGTTCGAAACAAAATCATTCCAGCCCTCCCCACGCAATCTAACACTCCTATCTTAGTAGCGCTTCCTGCGTTATGCCCCGACATACACAGTACTTCTTCACTTTCATCTACATCTTCATTCGTTTACAAATATCTCTGCATTTTCTACTTTTCCCTTTCTTGATTCCTTTTCCAATCACATTGAATGGATGGGATGAAGAAATTAAGAAAGAAGGAATCACGAATGGATTTAATCTTCTCCTTTCTTTTTATTCATCTTCCTATTTACTTCATTTTCAATGGAGATAAAGGGCTGTAATTATCTTTCAAGAAAAAAAAAAAAAACTAAGTGAGATTTGCTTTCTCTCATATGATATGAATGAGGCCTAACCTAAAACTAGATTTAGTTATTCATCTACAAAGTTTACTATCACATTGTTTACAATCGTTTGATATGAGAATTTTGTCACATATGCATGCAAATGAGATTTGTTTTCTCTCATATGGTGGCTTGAAAGAGAGGTTGTTAGTGCCTTTTAGAAGGACATTGGTTTTGTATATCATGTGGAAGAATTTGGTGCATTCTAGTGTACCTTATATTCATGTATGAGAATTGTAACATGAGTTGTCACATGATGTACGTGTTTAGCAGAGAGAGGAAAAATTCAAAAGGCAAATAACAAATCAGTATCCAAGCACAAAAAAGGGTACGTTTTAATTTAAACATTCTTTTTCAATTATTTTCTTTTTTATTATTAAATGTGCTTTTAATATATGTTTTCTCTTCTTTACTTGCATGAACTGAGAGTAATGGTACAGGTCCAGTGAACTAATTTTTTTTTAAAACTCCAGTTTCCTCTCTCTTTATCTAAATTTCTCAATCTTTTTTCCTTTAATTAATCATTTGTACTTCATAAGATGTCTCAATATGTGGAGAAATTATTTTGCGCGGATACTAAACACAGCTCTACATCCGGAGACCAATCAAAATGCATCACGTTAGTGGTACCGAGCGGTACCAAGCAATACCAAGCTACGGTACCGAGCGAAGAGGTGATGTGGCGCATTCTGATTGGTTTTCGAATGACGTTCGTCATCAGCACATAATAATGAAACCAATATGTGAGCTTTCTAGGACTTGTTGAATTAAATAATACTTAGTAATTTTTTTAGGAGATCGTCTCAGCACAGCTTCAATAACATCAAGTTTGCTTACTAATGGCAGATATGCATGCTTTTGCATGCAGAAATCTCATAGCATGGACTTCAAAATAGTAAAGAAAGTGAGAGAGAGTTTAGGCTCATGCATTCTGCCCACACTACTAAAATGTTAAGGTTTTCGCAGCAGTTTATAATAGCGGTTTTAAAACCGCTGCTATAAATAAATATAGGCAGCAGTTTTAACTAGTGCTAAATTCACTTTCAAAAAATTAAAGTTATCCAAATATTTTGTAACAGCGGTTTGCAAACCGCTGACTAAATAGGCCGCTCAATCTGTTCAGGTTTTTGTCTTTTGATTCTTTTGTATTCAGGATAGATTTCAGAACTGATGATTGTAGTGTAGTTCCTGAGTTTTGTACATGACCTTTTGAGTTATAGATCGACTTGTATATTGATATTTTAAATTTTATAGATGTTTGATAGACTGGTTAATTGAAGGTTTTAGATAACTCAGGTAAATTGTTTGAGAAATTGATTGACATTCTTTCCAAGTTAGATCTTGGGGCATCACACAATCTACTTCTCCTCCTTTTGGTGCCCTAGCCGACTCATACAATACCTTTGTCTAGGTTTATCTCGCGATGATCATCCACGCCGAATCAGCCAACCCCACTGCCGAAGCTACCATCTTGACGCTGAATCCTACCATTCCGATGCTGAATCTTGCCGTCCTGATGCCAACGGTCAGGGGGAGGAAAACGAGATGGAGAGCCGACACCGTTGGTGGCCATAGAGATCATTGAAAATTATTTCATTTGATATGATAATACAACATGAAGAATGCTTCTGACATAGTTTAGATCAAGAACGTACAGGTCCTCGAGAGTTTCTGAGAAAGCTGGGAATCAATCAAACCTAGTAAGTCATGAAGGCTTCAAATAAGCATAAAAAACTTTGGAAAACCGCAATGCCAAAGATTCCAAACTTGCAGCTTTGCTCTACTCTCATGCAAATGTGATGTACAGAAGAACATATAAGCTCAAGTATGTAACTCTATACTTATACAGATAAAAACGCTCACAAAAAGCTATAACAATTAGAAGTAAATGAGCAATAGCTCACTGGCATTCCTTACTTGAAGCCTCAGTTTGAATCCCTCTAGGAAAATCTAATAGGAGGGGCAAAGTTGTGGTCTGAGAGGTGGAAGACAAAGTGCAAGAATCGGATTTCGTTGCCAACTCATGGGCAAGATTAGTATCATCTTCAAATGACTGTGATGGCTTGGAAGGCAAATTATTCAGTTGTTTCTGCTGCTTATCCTGTTTCTGTTGAGACAATCCAGATTCGAGCGCCATTGATGGAACAGAAGAGTATGTTCCATTGAAGGCAGCACTGCTTTGTTCAGCAGCAGTGACCATTACCCTATAATCCGGTGGAGGTACCCAGATTCCACCAACCAAGACTAACTGAGGAGGAATTTGAGGGTTGATGTAACTGCTGCTATGAATTTGGGTCGACGGCCGCGTTGTGTGTAGCCGGTATTTCTGCAGTAATAATCCAAGTATGAGAAGGACGAAGGGAGAAGAGACTAAAAGAACAAGTAAGGTAAGATGCCACTATATGAATTGGCTCTATGTGTAAGATGCACCAAGTTGAAAGAGTAAAAACATAGAAATATACTGCAATATAGATGTTTGAACAATCTTTGATGACTTTGGCTTCATTTGGGATGACTTTCTTACTGTTTCTTAAAGTAGTTTTCTAGTATAAAATTTTTATTTTTATACTAAAATGTTGTTTAAGAAGCAGTAAAAAAGTTGATCCAAACAAAGCCTTTGCATAGATAAGAAGTAGATATAACCCAACTGCCAATGTTAGCTTTCTATTATGTAAAAGTCGATCTGAAGTGTCAAATAGAATAGCATATTGTTTGACATGGCTGTAAGAAAATTGTTAGGATTTCTTGGAGTGGAAGAGAGCTTCTTGCTCTTCTTTGAAAGAGGGAGAGAACTGAAAAATCAGAACTTAATTCTTTATTCGATTGGCTTGTCCTATCCTATAACAACCATATCTTATTTATAGACTTCTAAAAGTAACACAATAGCTACACCAAAAAATCTAAAGAAAGTACACAAATAAAAGCTAACAGAAAAGACATAAACAAAAATAAGTTGGCTCAAAAAACAGCCCCCTTCAGATTACAAGTTTTACAGATGAAATATTATAGAGAGTAGAAGATTAAGGCGGCCAGAAATCAGTGGAAAATATAATATTTCCCAACAGGATATTCCCACAAAGCATACCATCATAATATTCCAAAGAACACATTTTTCCTTATTGGAACATGTTCCTGTCACACCCAGCCAACTCAACAAGGCGTTTAATCGTCGTAAGCAAGTAACAAATCAACAGTGTTATATGAGTTTTCAACAGGGATTAGAATCCAAAAAACCTCCAAAAATAAATATCTCAATATGTAATTGATCTGATCCTTCTCAATATTGAAAATCAAGATTTTTGAACTATCTTCACCTGTAAGTGAGATTTCACCTCATCATTTGTAAGCCGCTCCACCTTCATCAGCTCCCTGATTTGTTTTGGCGTAGCCGCTGCAAACAAAACTTCATCTTTTCACAAAACTTTTTTTTTTTTTGGAAGTAGAAATAAAAATTCCTGTGTCATAATCAGAACTATATTCATTAATGGCGAAGACATTACATTGGGAGCCAATTACTTGAGTGGGTTATTTTTTATATTTTTACATATAGGTTTTGGATCCGTGACTTGACTAATGTAGCACGAAGCATTTCTCTTCCTATCTCTGTGTTTAAATTTAGTGTTAGTCTAGTGCCCACAACAAATTTATAACAAACATTGTTATGAATTGATTTAGTTTTAGGTTATGTTGTTCTTGCAGGCTACCACATCTATGTAAATCTCTATTTATAGAGATTTGCATAGATGTGGTAGCCTGCAAGAACAACATAACCTAAAACTAAATTAATTCATAACAATCTCCACATTGATTTAGTTTTACAAAAAAAAAGAACCACTCGTCACAAGAACTCGAACTTGTTGCAATCCAACTGATCGCCCTGGACGCCCATGCGCGCTCCGACCTGCGACTTCGCACGGTCCACCCGTCCAATCCCAAGTTTGCAACCATCTTGCTACCTTGTGGTTCTTGATCTCGCTGTTGTCTCCACTGCCTCGATCACACGACCGACCATTTGCCGCCCGGACTCCACCTCAAAAAATTCTAATCAAATCTGTAATCAAGAACTGTTCCTTTGAACCGAGGCCACTACCTTCAATCTCTTGCTTGCAACTTCCGATGTCACCATGACCTCGTCTCTACAGGATTCTCTGAAATGACAGCTCAACAATCCATTTACTGGTCTTGAACGCAACTAAGGATTAGGTGCTCAGGTCTTCGAATACGGCTCCTATAATTCTCCACCCTGATTGAATCCAAGATCAAGAGTATCTCTTATGTGGACAACTCCCGAACTCTACATTGCCTGCTTGCCAGAGCCAAATGAAACTTTCAGTCTGCTTGCATCCGCCGAACGCATGATCCACTTGCTGCACCAAGAAGAGCCGTAGAAGCCCTCTGTGCTTTCCTCTTACCGCATCTAATGCCTCAAGTTTGCGAATAACCCGCTGCCTTGATGGTTGTGTTCACGCCAGCCGCTCCGGCCTCCGTCGATCGCGGTACCAAGCCGCTTCGCCTGCCCTCCTCCGACTTGATCGCAACACCAAGCCGCTTCGCCTTGGCCACATGAGTTCGCCTGTGTGCCTTCATCCGCGTGGGTCTGCACGTGTCTACTTCCGCTCGGTCCGATGCTTGATCTTGCTCCGCGGCTCCACCTACCACGTTTGAGCTCCTGTGCAAGGCTTCGCTCTTCCTTGGATGCAAGAACCTTCCTTCTTCCTCGAGATTGCCTCCACCAAGGCTCTGATACCAAATGTTAGAACTTGCTTGTGAGAGGAAGAAGCACTTCCTCTTCTTGATCTTGAGATAGTAGGAGGGAGATGGAAGGGGAAAGGGAGAGAGCTGAATGCAAAAATTATTATTGCTTGACCATCCTTATTACAACCTATAAGGCCTCTATATATAGGCACAAAAGCAACACTAAAAACTACACTATTGGCCATACATGCCCATACAAGAAACCTAAACAAAAAATACAAACCTAAATCTAGGATCAATATCTAACAATCTCCACCTTGATCCTAGATTTACTCAAAAAGATAACTGTTGTCCACAAAGAACAGCCCCGTCGATCTTCCCCGCCAATAGATTCCATCTCCTGACAGATCTTCTCCTGTCGCACTGCGCCCCACGTAGTCAATTCCCTGAGCATCCTGTGTGTCTCGCTTCCACATCCTATGCATCGATCCGCACCTTACGCCCGCGCCTTGAGCCTCCAGCTTTGCTCCCACGCCTTGCACATATGTGGTCTGACTCCAACCACACATCCTGCGCGTATTCACCCGCGCACCGAGCCCTGCGCATTCACCTGGGCCCTGCTCGTCACAATCCCACGCCCTGCACTTCCGCGTGCAACCAACGCCCTGCGTGTCCTTCACCAGTGCCCTACGCTCCTATGCAACCTCCTCATGCACCGCACAACCTCGTACCTTCAAGTGCCCCGCACTCCCGGCACTGCTCCTCAAGAACAGGCCAACTCCACCTCAACGATCCAAATCGTTCTTTAATCAAGAACAATAATCTTGAATCCGCCGTGGTCCGCCTATCACTTGCGGACAACCTGCCTTGCCTTCGGCCAAGCCTTGCACACACAATCTCCACCGTTCCCTGCTTCACTTCTTCGAACCTTCCTCCACAAGGATATCACCTCAACTAGGATTCAAGAACTACTGACAACAACCACATCCAGTCCAAAATCACGTGTCTGCATCTGTACCCATCAATCTCCCAAACTCCACTCAGAACCTTCAAGAATCACAAGCCTTGCCAAGCCTACAACCGCAAGCAAGAACCCAATGCCGCCAAGAAGCCTACGCTCCGTTCCACGCATACTAGCCTCCTTCTCCACTTGAAACATCTATCTGGAACGGACCTCCTGCCTCTGCTGCCGTTTGTGCGAGACCTCCCAGCTCTGATCTTGCTTGAGATGAAATGGTTCTACTGATAACAGTGAAACCGAACTCCTGGTTCAGCAAAAGAACAGTTCCCATCACAAGAACTCAGTTCTTGGAATAGTACATTGCATTTCCTTGCAAGCGCATCTGACCTATCGCGGCACCAAGCCATTTTCGCGACCGCTCGGCTACTGAAGACTCCAAGCGGACGACATGATCGGCTGCCGCTTGCTTCGTGTTAAAAGAGAAGAACAGATCGACGCACAGGGAAACAGAGGAAAGAAAATAAACTTCGATTGATTTATGTATTGCATACAGAGGTAGAATATATAGAGAAATATTACAAACTATAACTAATAAGAATATTACACGTGTAAACAATAATACAAATTAATAATGCTAAGTCATCACATATAACTTAACACGCCCCCTCAAACTGTTGCGTCGGAAGATGTAACCAGTTTGCTTGAGAGTAATTTGAAGCGGGAAGTAGCAAGGGGCTTAGTGAAAAGATCGGCGAGCTGATCTTTAGTAGATATGTGATGAAGTTGAATTGTTTTGTCTTTGATGTAGTTTCGGATAAAGTGACAATCCACCTCGATGTGTTTTGTTCGAGCATGCAGAACAGGATTATTAGCTAAAGCAATGGCAGAAGTATTGTCACAAAGTATAGTTGTAGCCGTTTGCTGAGTACAATTTAGTTCTTGAAGTAGACGACGTAGCCAGGTGACTTCGGCGGCAGCAGAAGCAAGGGCCCGGTATTCTGCTTCAGTAGAGGAGCGGGCAACAGCATTTTGTTTCTTGACACTCCAAGAGACGATGGACGAGCCGAGAAAAGTACAATACCCAGTGGTAGACTTACGATCAGATGAGTCTCCCGCCCAATCCGAGTCCACATATGCAAGAAGATTCAGTTTAGAATTTGCGAAAAGAGAAATACCAAAATGTAAAGTGCCTTGAATATAACGTAAAAGACGTTTAAGATCATTAAAATGAATAATCAAAGGATTTTGCATATGTTGACATACCTTGTTAACGGCAAACGAAATGTCCGGTCGTGTTAAAGTAAGATATTGGAGTGAACCGGCTAATTGACGATAAAGAGTCGGATTAGAGAACGCACCTGATTGAGTTTGTTTGGATGAAGGTTTTAGCTGAGAAGGTGTAGAAATAGGCTTGCAATTTTGCATGCCAGCACGGGATAAAATGGTTTGAGCAAAACGAGTTTGATTGAGCTGTAAGCCATAGGAGGTATGAATGAATTGAATGCCAAGGAATTGAGACATGGTTCCAAGATCGCGAACAGTAAATTTTGAACTGAGATTTTTAAGAAGATTTTGGATAGATGTATTACAATTTCCGGTTAAAAGAATATCATCAACATAAACCAAAAAATACATGGATACACCATTTTTATTGTAAATTAAGAGAGAAGGATCGGAAGAGCTGAAGTCAAAACCGAGAGATTGAAGATAAGTTGACAGAGTGGAGTACCATTCACGGGGCGATTGTTTAAGTCCATACAACGCCTTTTTGAGACAGCAGACATAGGTGGGATTAATATTGTCTTTAAAACCAGGAGGTTGTTTCATGAAAACTTGATGAGTTAAATTGCCGTGAAGAAAAGCATTCGAAACATCAAGTTGATGAAGGGGCCAATGGTGATGAAGAGCAACAATAAGAAGAACACGCACAGTTGAAATTTTAGCTACGGGACTGAAAGTTTCAGTGTAATCAAGACCGTATTCTTGATTGAAACCTTGTGCAACAAGTCTAGCTTTGTACCGGGAGATAGTACCATCCGCAAGATATTTTGTGCGAAAAATCCACTTGGAACCAAGAACGTTTTGGTTTGGGTGAGGAGGAACAAGATCCCAAGTGCCTTGAGTTTGAAGGGCTTGAAATTCAACGGACATGGCATCACGCCAGTGTTTTTCTTTAACAGCCTCAGCATAAGTGATAGGATCAGAAGGAATGGTCTGATGAAACAGATTAAACACAGTTTTAGGCTTAAGATTTCCGGTTTTGAACCGGGTCTGCATTGGATGAATGGACTGATGAGGAATAGATACAGGATTGGATAACTGATTTGAATTAGAAGAAGTGGATGAGGAAGTGTAAGGCTGAGGTGAAGACAGAGATTGTCTGGCTGAATTTGAACGATGTTCACTTTGCTGGGAAGTGATGGGCACCGATGCAGATTGAGAAGGAATAGACTGCGAATTGGATGAAAGAGTAGATGTAGGAACAAGTGTTAGAGGAGGAATGAAATTTGAAGGAGAATGCGGTTGAGTGTAGTTATTAAAGGTATCCGAGTGATAAGGGAAAATTGTTTCATTAAATATAACGTGCCGAGAGGTGTACACTTGACCGGTTTTAATATTGAAACAACGGTATCCTTTTTGGGATGAAGCATAACCTATGAAGATGCAAGGCGTTGAGAGAGGAGAAAGTTTATTTGCAGAATACGGTCGAAGCCAAGGGTAGCAAAGACAGCCAAAAATTCGTAAATGATTGTAAGATGGCTGTTTATGATAGAGCATATAATAAGGACTAGAATTATGCAATGATGGAGTAGGCAACCGATTAATGAGATAGATGGCAGTATGAAGAG